AAAAAAAAAAAAAAAAAAAAAATTAACACCTCTATCCCCCACACTCATTTTTTAAAACCTTCAAGAAATATGCACCAAAATTTAAAAAAGAAATATGTTCTAAGAACTAACGATCTTATTACGAGAGTATCTTGAATAAAATTCTATAATTGTTCTGGGAAGTAACTTTTTAAAATTAAAGTTAACAAATTCAAAAAAAAATGTTTGGTTATTATTATTATCTATATTTTAGAGAGCTATTTTGAGTCACAGCCGAATGACCCGTTCCGTATAGACTATAATCTGTACTTCCTCCTGGCACAATGTGGGTCATCTTGGTTCTTATTGCTTTGCTTAGAATTTGGGTTTCTCCAGTTATTATGGTAAGTATTTTAATTTACAGATGTAAAAAAAAATTGTGTCAAAGCCCAATTTACGCCTGTAAATTAACATAAAAAGATACATGTGAAATAAGATAATAGTAAACATTTAAAATAAGATAATAATAAACATTTAAAATAAGATGATAAGAAACATTGTAAAAAGGCAGTAAGACACATTGTTTATTCAGATAATAAGATACGTCGTAAAATGAGATAACAAGATATATTAAGGTGCTGAGTGGCCGAGTGGTCTAAACTGAGCAAAACCTCAAGTTGATGGTGTGGAGATCAATCCCCAAAGCACAAACATCACCAGCACCCCGGGTGGATGGTACTCGTTAAGCTTGGATGGCAACTCATCTAAGATCAGGAAACTCTGAATTCAAACCCGGAGATGGAGTCCCGTAGGTAGATAACATCGGTACAATGAAACACTCCGACAACTCCTGCGACGCCACTTGTGCCAAGCTGTATCATCTACATGATGATTTCCCAGGGTTATCCAGTGGCGTGGAGAGAGGCGATTTACTGTTGGGAACCAGCTTATAATCCTAGAAGATTAATCCCAGGCCGTGTCGATCTTCGTCCTGCGAAGTCCACCCCATCGTCACATTGGAGAAAACGTAAGGAGGCTACGAAACAAAATATGTGAGGTCACGTGAGCTTTTCATTTATTTGATGATAATTAAATTGTTTTTAACAAAAGATAATTAAATCTTTTGTGAAAAATGATGGCTTGCATCTTGATTTTCATTCGCTCGATTTTATTGGGTTTTTTTCCATAAGATCTTGACTCTATCGATTGAAAAGTAAAAGCGACGAATTTGGTAAATCCTTGGTTTGATGCTCTCGCAAAGATATAAAATGACCGTGGTGGCAAACTGAGTGTTCAGCTTGAGTCTATAAAACAATTCATGTAATAGACGCTAAAAGTGAGGCATTAAATGATCAGATGACCATTGTGGAAAAAAAAAGTCTTTTAGCATTTGCTGCAGCAATTCTCTCATTCACGGACAGCGTATGACGGCAGCATTGCTTTCTTTCATGTTCAGTGTAATGGAGTCAATGACGTGATTTGAGGATATTCATTTCGCTGACGTCCTCTACAGCGTAGTGTTGGGGTCTGCAGCCTTCCAGAGCTTTATTTCATCGATTTGTGAATTTCTATTTTTCCACGAATCGGCTGGAGAGGACTATGGCAACGGGCAGGTGAAACTGGTAGTTTGACTTCCGGCTGTCGACTGACAATAAAGATGACCCGAATGAACAACAAAAACAATGAGAAGGAAAGGTGATCACTAAACTGACCATTAACCTGAACTCTAACCAAATTTTTAAAAATTAATAATGGGGGTAACTGACGCCGCCCACTCCACGGACCCTCTTCTCTCAGAGAAAAAAACAACAACTTGTCTAACAACAATCTGCTTTATAGAAATAAAATTAAAATTTAATATAATTTGCATCTTTGTTTGAATTTGAAACCCCCCCACCCCCCCACCCCCCCCAACCCAAAAAAAAAAATGTATGATCGTACCTCGAAATAAAACTATTTAATGAGACAGGTACACCGTGATATGGCCGTGTGCTTGTCTGAAGTGTATCTTCGTTAAGAGAGTGAACCTGGACGATGGTCAGATGCTTCGAATGGACAGTGACGTCACGAAAGAAAACGAGCGGATCAGTAGAACGCCGCTGAAGGACTTGTGTAAAACAGGTGAGGGCTGTATAAGGAATACAATGGTCAAACATTATACAATTTAAATCGTGGGTACTCATTTTTTTTAAATTTTTTAAAGGGTGTTTGAGAGTATTTTAATGTGAAACATGTCGACCACCGCGAGAGTGATTGATTGTGTAAAAAACCGAAATAAAGAAAAAAGTCAAAAATATTCGAACACATGTGTACAAGTATATGAACACCAAGTGTATAAATGTATGAAAACTAAGTGTTTACTATATGAACATAAAATGTATTTTAATCTGCAAAGGAAGTGCCCATGCCTCCATATAAAACGCGGGGGGGGGGGGCAGAATATAGTTTTTGGCAAACCTTTTGTCTTGTCTAATAATATATGTGCTTTCAGACACATTTGTCTTGGCAAACCTCCCTAATGTCTATGTTCTTTTTGAAGCAATTGTCTTGGCAAACCTCGCTAACATCTATGTGCTTTCAGACGCCATTGTCTTGGCAAACTTCACTAAAATCTATGTGGTTTCAGATGCTATTGTCTTGGCCAACCTGACCAAAGTGTACGTCTACGGCCCTTGCATGACACTAACAGCTGTGAAGGCCGCCTCGCTGGGCATCCCGCCGAAAGAATGCTTCGGAATGCTCGGCCAGAACGGCGCCGGCAAGTCGACGATCTTCAAAATGCTGACTGGCGATACACTCATATCCTGTGGAGAGATATATGTGGAGAGTAAGAACATCAAGTGGTATTTGAAATCCGTA